ACATTTTACTCATACATTTATCAGAAACGCTCATTCTGTGTCAATTTATAGGCAATGTAAAGCTACGAGCTAACTGAAGAGCGTTAACATTAGCTTGCAGCTCGAGCTAAGGACAATTTTGTCCAATTGCTTGTTGTGAAGTTTTCAGACTATAACAAGTATTCCTCATCAACAGATTAAAACATCTACAATTGAGGAAGAACAAGATTATTCAAACTCGACCTGAAAATGTACAGAAATATCACATCCAGCTTCTATAACTGACAATCCAGGTGAAAGCCAACGTAACCTTCGTCTCAATCAGAGATCCATAAAACTCCCTTCGTCTTAAGCAGCAGTTGAGTTTTCTTGATTGTTTTGTTCATTCAAAAGCTGCTCCTTCAGTTGTTCTGATGATTTATGTTTGATGAATTTGACTGAAGGTCATCCAACAAATCCATCATCATTTGGTAAACGGGTCCAGTGGCCACAAGGGGATGCTGGTCTGTCATTGCAGTCCGTCGTTCACCTTCCATCAGAGTGATTGGCTTCCTTCTTCCTGACAGTGCATGACGATACGACGTGCACTTGGCATCCTGCTCCAGAAATAAATCACATTCTCCTCAATGACATGAAACCTGACCCTGAGCTGGGACCCCGCCGGCTGCTGGGACCCCGCGACGGTTGCTGCCGACAGGCCGGTTTTGTTTCTCGGCTGCGGCGACCCGAAACAGCCAAAGCACAAGACCGGCCTGACACAGCAGCCGTCTCGCCACTATATTTATATTTTTTCGCCATTATCAGCTTTCTCCATAGAGCCTGTTAGCATAGCTTCCAAGCAATATGGCGGTGTGAGCTGTATTAAGAGCTATTTTCACCTCCTCGACCTGCATGGACGACGATCGGGGCCGTACTGATTTGAAATCGTAAATATTAAACATGTCCCGAGCATGGACTCTGGGAAGCAAGCTGACTCAAGCAGGAAGCACAACAAACTTTGTCATGTAGATAACTTCAGCAAACGGGAAGCATAAAGTTAGATGGAGGTCAGAAATGGGAGGACCAACTTGTTGATTTGTGGCAACAACCCGAGTGTTTCTACGACATGTCTGTAAAACAAACCACAATCAAACAGACGAGGAAAGGAGCCGAACCCAAAATGTTTACTGTCATGATGTACCAGCTAGCCACGATCTTCATGTTTGTCTACTTTTAAGTCGCATCAGATGACATGTTCTGAGAGTGGAGACTCTGTTAGTGTACGACATGCTGGGTTGGTCCAAACACTATGAGAACAAAACTGTTAAACTGGTCGTGATTTGCCGCCATGTGTGGGCTCTTTCAAATCTTTTAGTGCGTGCCAGAGAGCTACACCTCGACAGTCACAAAAATGGAAACCCCCATTGACGCCAACTTTAACCCGAGAGCAGACACTCCAGATTTGCATTTTTTACATTATTCATGGAGCGCGGCCAAAATATCTGTTGGTGCCGCGCTGGCTGAAATTAGCCTGTCAATGATATGCTGGTGTTTGCTGAGCCAAAATTCTCGATACCGATGCTCACTACTAATTTTTCCTTATTCTGCTGGTCTCAAGAATTTAGATGAATATGGCAAGTGACTGTTAGACATTCCTAGGGGTGTGCGTGTTTAGTCCAGGAACTAAACCAGATCAGATTATCACCAACTGACACACATCTAAGTGAGGTGTGTGTGTGTGTGTGTGTGTGTGTGTTTGTGTGTGTGTGTGTGTGTGCGTGTGGACGTGATGGCCTTGATGATTCAAACGAGTGTCACACATCAGACTTTAAGGCAGCAAAGATAAGATAAGACGAGACTCAGGGTCAAACACACATAAAAACACACCCTACTTCTAGCCGTGTTAGGACCTGTAGAGCAGTTTAATCCCACACTTTTATCATCCAGCTTGAAAACGTTAAGTGTCCACTCCAACTACAAATCAACTACATGCAATAAGCCCCCAAACTGTGATGACACACATTGTGCTGTTTTTACCTTCAGGTTTTGGACGCACACTCTCACTCCTAGAACACCACATTTGGCAGATTGGTCTGAGTGGATAATAGGGATGCAACAATTCTCAATTTGAAATAAGAAATCCGCGGTTCAATACGCGCTTGTGAATTGCGTTTTGCATACAACGATCTTCCATGCATTGTTTCTCTCCGTATTGGCTCTGTTTGTGTGCGCCTGTGAGTCCATGCACTGGGATAAAGAAAACCCCTCTTTCCCCCAAGTAAATATCCCATCACCATGCGCTTAAGTCGGGGGAAGCTGACAACACCGGTGTCCTATAGCACACATTACTTAAACATGGCGAGCGGAGAGGAGAGGCTGCCGTATGAGGAGGCCCCGCCGTCTTGACCCGTTCAAGACTCTTTAGTCAAGTAAGCCACCGAATATGCAACAACGTCAGGTTAGACTTCTTAACTAAAGCTGTCATTTCAGTGAAGGCAAAAATACAACAGTAGCTGTTTCCAGACTGCCTCTGAAATCCTCCTGATCTGGTTGTTCACACATGCATGTCACAGCGGGAGACTATCCCTGACTGACGGGGGGGAGGACAGACTCCTCTACACGACGCTATAATGAGAATATTTGTCTTTCTATCAACGCTACGTGTAGTTGAACAGAATCTCAATCTGAACTAAAGAGTGGAGAAGAACATAAACTGGAGAACAGGAAACATAATGCAGCAGGTTCATTAGAACACGGAGATGGTAGAGGTGGCGTGCAGACAGTCTATGGTCGTGCAGCGATCACAGGGGATAAACGTCACCCCCCCCTCCCACTCACTCCAGGTGAATTCTCCTGATTATATCCTGCTGCGTTCTCACATCAGCTCACTCTGACTTTCTGCAGAACAAATACGAGGAGGCTGGAGGAGAAACTCCAGGTGAAGAGAGAAACATTCAGCTGTTTGTGTTCACACATGACACTCGGCATGAGAATATCAGGAGTTCTGTGCATGTGTGAACAAGACTATTTGGCACAATTAAAAAAAAAAAGTTCACAACTATGACTTTTGGACGTGCAATAACAATCATAAACTCAGGCTTAACATTTGAGATGGTTGCAGTTTGGTTAAAAGGTGTCTTTTTTTTTGGAACTGACTTTCTAAAAGACCTAGCTTGTTATAAATCTTATCAAAGAAATCAGCTCCCTGGATGAAGTAAACATTGACTTTCCCCAACAGAACTGAGCTCAGATCTCCTGGATAGAAGTCATGTGTTATTCCGGACACATCCAGCGCCCTCAAACCGCCACCTCTTACACTCTTTAGAAGATTTTACCACCAAAATCCAAACAAAGAAGAGGACGGTTGTGGAGACCTGAGAGGTGAATCAACAGCAGTACATGTTGCAAAATCGGGCCACAAACCAACCTGTGAGAACTTGGCCGTGAGAACCGTCTGTCCCTCAACCGCTGACTAAGTGTGGTTTGTCACCAGATTTCTTCAACATCAAACTTCAGCGGGTTTCCAGCCGACCTTCGCTTCGATTAGTGAACGGTAACACCAAAAAGGTGTCTAACTCAACAACTAGAGCGCCAACACTCACTGGACTCTGTGTGCATGCATCCATTTAAAAGCGCTCATATATGAAAAGCGTTATTGTAAGAAGTGATGGTTTCAGAACTGAATGCAACGTTTCCATGTAGATTGCAAATACATGAGAGGCTTGGCTCTGAGCGATAACAAGTCTGGGTAATTTTCCAGGATTGACTGCGATCCAAAAAGGACCAGCTGACAGCCATCAAACCCAACCCTCCTCTCTCTATCTCTCTCTCTCTTTCTCTGTGTGCCTCTTGTTTTTCTCTCACAGCCATCACAAGACACATGACAAGACACATGCATGAAAAGCACCCAGAGGTCTGTCTCCAGGAGTGATGCACCTCCACATGCATTTCATGTTGGAGGTGTAGTGTCCACAACACGTGCGCAAAATGTAGGACACTGCAGTTAGTCTCCACATTTAAACACATCTATGGTGAGTGTCAGAGTTTCATCACTGAGGCTGCTCAGCAGATAGACTGAGCGCGAGGGAGAAGAGCCGTGACACTGGAGGTAGAGAGAGGCAGGAAACAGGGGGGGAGAGAGAGAGAGAGAGAGAGAGAGAGAGAGAGAGAGAGAGAGAGAGAGGGGGGGCTCGTGGTGAGAGGAAACGGCGCACCATGTGCAACGTGCGACTTCACGACCTTCTCGAGCGCTCCACTTCCCCTTTCTACTGAAGAGCCCGTTAACGGAATTAAATAAAAAAGGAAGCGAAAATGTAAAGCCACAACGCGACTCTTTCTTCAGTATGAAAAAGATAAAGCAGGCCTACATTTATTTGTAAACCTGCACAAAGAAAAGAAAACAACCACAAAAAAAACCCACTGAATTCTGAGAATTAACTGCTCGACACCTTAAAAAAAAAACAAAAAACGAAAGGAATTAAAGTGAAACACCTCTGAGAATGAAACACACGCACGCCTTTTCTAAATAACTTGAACCTGACAGACAGCAGACACATTTCATGGATGCACACGAGCCGTGATGCATTTGAACGTTGTTAAGAAATTGCACATCCATCAAAGATCCCTCCTGAGCGCACGTTATCACCGCCTCGAGCCTTATCCTCGCAGCTTCCACTCAGTGTTCACCAGCAAACACCATCCCTGCATCCACACCTCCAGTAACACCAGCCACAACTACAACTTAACACGCATTCATTTCCTCCATCCATAAACAGCCTACACTTTTTTTTTTTTTTTTTTTTTAAGCAAAGGCCTTTGTGCTTTGTAATATATATATATATATATATAATAAAAAGAGACAGCTTAAATAAACGAACTCCTGCCATTCAGACAAAGAGAGAAAGAGAGAGAGCGACAGAAAGAAAGAAAGAGACAAAAATTAAAATTAAGAATCGGGAGAAAAACGCTCAGGAGAAGCGAAGCCATCCTTCTCTGCCATGCTTTCAAGGTGTGCACGAATATGTCGATTTGTTTTCCGTTACCTGTTCTGTTGATGCGATTTTGTGTTTTATTTTGTCCTTTTAATGTCCTTATCGCGCGCTCCCGTGTCCGTTCCGTCTTGTCCGTGTCCTGTGGTGTCCGTGAGAGCGACTGAGGGCTGGACGCGTCGGTAGCCTATATTTTATCCTGCCTATAAGCTTCTCGTTCTGACCTTTGTCTCTTAAAACGGGGAGACATCAGCGGCAGCGGAAAATCACCGGCCTGCCTCCCCTCTGAGCAACAGGAGAGCTGTGTGTCTGGATGCGTTCAGGGCCTGCAGAAAAGCTCGGAGTTTTTTTTTTTTTACACAGAGCGCCTCTCTGCGCGAGAGTTGGAACGAAGGGGATGCAAATTGGAGAATCAGCGCATCTGTCAACATTAATCTCCAACATACACACTGCTGGTCTTATTTGCTTTGCATTCAGATACTGCCTGTTCATGTTTAAAGGGTATTCAGGCCTTTAAAAAAAAAAAAAAAAAAAGCAGATATCGCATGGAGTAAGTGCTGTTTCTCAAACTGTTCAAAAGGCAAAAAAACTAGTCTTGACTTCTCTGAAAGGATTTGCAGAAAATTGCATAAAGCTAGCAAAAACATTTTCTTTAAAGAAGATTCATGATTAAAATCTCCAAAATCAACATGTCAGGGTAAACCTCCAAACATAAAACCCTAATCTGAATCTTCTCCTTCCTGTCCTCTGCCACAAAAAAGACTACTTTTTTTCATTTAAATACCAAACATGAACACTTAATGACAAAGTGAACGTTTTCACTCTCCTGACGAACAAATTGGGGGATTTACGAGCTGCCCTTGAACGCAGCGTTAAGGAGCATTAAAGTGGCAGTTCCCCCCACCCCATTTCACGAGTTGGTTGGTTGGTTGGTATCTTTGCCGATTCTCAGGCGCGCTCCCGGCAAGTTACCACCACCACCACCCACCTCTCGCTCTCCCCTTCACACACACACACACACACACACACACACACACACACACACACACACACACACGCACACCACGGGCGCCTCTCTCTCGTGCGTGTCAACGAGCAGGCGCTAAAGTGCACGAGGCGGTGGGAATAAAGGACTACAGTGTGAGGAGTCTGTGCAGCTGATTCTGCACGTGTGGTAACAGCAGCATCTCAAGTTTCCACTTGGTTTCAGGATGATTTTGAATACTGTCATTGAATAACATAAACACGTGTTAACTATATTTTACTCTTAAAAAAATGTATTGAGGAGAATATTTAGATTTAACAGACAACATGACTGCAGATTGCTTTCATGCCTCGTAGAAATATGAAGCCTTTAGCAGCTTAAATTCAGCCTTCTGAAATGCAGAGTGAAGCCAACTTAATCGAGACAAAGAAACAGTATACCGTAAAACTTCAAACCATCACCTGGGTCTGGGCCCAGTAAGGTCACATCTGGCATGTTGCTGCAGGAGCTGGGAGTCAAACCTCTAACCTTACAGTTGAGAGACGACCGACTGTACCACTGAGCGACAGATGCCAGTCCCTTGTGCTAGCCTGCATAGTGTTACCATTAGTTCTTGAGAGTCGGAAATTCCAAACTTGCTGGTCTTGCTGGCTGCAGGAGCACAAGAAGTCACACACACACACATTCTAAATAGCCTGTTTTTACAGCAGAGATTAACATGTTTACAGCCTGGGTCAAAAAGAACGAACAGTTCTGATCAGCTCATGTCTCCATCGGCACACACTGTACAGGGGGTGAAAGTTTTGATGACTCATCAGTTTTGATTTGATGAAGCGTTATTCACAATAAGGCGTGTAGCTGACATGATTGACAGGCGATTGATTGATGATTGATAGGATGAGACAGCATTTCCAGCATGGGGACCGCCGTCGATGGGACTCCAGCACCCCCTGCATGAACAGACGGGGGACGTCACTCAGGCTTCAAAATGTAATATTTACATTTTTTTACCTGGGATATTGCTAATGGCCCACAAGGCCTTCCTTGCCAAGTCTTCTCTGTGTTTGCTGCATATAAAGAGGGCGTTGAGCAGGAAATATAACCGTGAGAAAAGGCCGATCATTGTTTTTACTACTTAGGGTAATGTTTAAAAGAGGAGAGCAATAAGAAGTGTTTGCATATCTGATAGAACATTCAAATAACGGGGAGGCAGATAAAAGTTAATAGCCAAACAGTGAGTAGCACATACATCCATGTTGCTTTGCTGATCTACTTTGTGTCATGTTGCGTCTCCTTAGTCTTTGTTTGGTCACTTCAAGGCACTTTTTGAAGCGCTAGGATCAAAAGTGTCTCATTTTATTGATCAAAAACGTTCTTTTCCATTCACATCCGAGTGTGTTTGTGTGAACCTTTGTCCTAAATAAACTCTTCAGAGCCACGACTTATCTCGTGCCCTTGAATGAAAGTCACCCCTTCAGTGTTTTTTAAACACTCTCTGACTGCTGTGTACACAGACTTTATTTAATGAACTACAGTGACCTTCGACTTTCAGAAGGCAATGAGTAAAAAGAAGCCGATGCACCCAAATCAATCGGAACAGATCAAAAAGGCATATGTTAAAAAAAAAGGTTATTATATAAAGTTATTATATCATCAGACATGAAGGGAACATGCTGAAGTGAAAATGTTCTGTGTTATGTTTCTGCATCTCCTTTTACATTTCTATTAAAGGCAGAATGTGCAACATGTTCCACATAAATAAATCATAAATCCAGTCTGTCCTGTGTAAATGTCTCTCTGAGTCATGACTGTCTACAATGAGTGAGAAGCTCGAGTCCCGCTGGCTGTGTTGTTGTCAGAGCCGTGTTTACATGGACGTGACGGCCGGCTCCTCCCCTTGTGTATAAAAGCTGTTTTAGTCAAGAACTAGAGAGAAGAAGAAGAACATACTCACTGATTATTTGGATGTTAGTAAGAGTTTTTAGAGCACGCTCATTCTGTGTCAGTTTACATGCAATGTGAAGCTACGAGCTAACTAAAGAGCGCTAACATTAGCATGCTAACACAACAATTCAGGACACTGGTGATTGCAGATCTACTGGATCAAAAAGTCGCACATTCTTAATTTAATCTCCTTAATTTCCTGTTTTTGTTCAGTCTTTGTAATCCCCAGTTGAAATGTCACAATCTCAGACATAGCTCTTGGGTTTTTGTTTTTTTGTCAGTCCAGAGGATATGTAGTTCTCGAGGGATCCATGAACCAGAAGAAACCTCCTGAAAAGCAAAAGGAAAAAGGAGGGAAGATCTGCTGTCGGGTCGGTGCAGCTCTATCCTCACCCAAAGAATCTTGCTTGTGGGCAGAGGAATAAAAGCAGACTCATGACAAAAAACCTTAATTTCATGTGAACAGACCTGACATTGTTTAGACGAAGAGCAGCTCAGGAGTCTGAGGTGCAACTGTGAGACTGAACGCAAACAAAATAAAATGTTTTTTACCGCTCTCAACCATTTCTTCCACTTCCAGTTAACATCAGAGTTTAAGTTTTTGTGAAGTTTGATTCATCCCTTTGTCCAACTGTCTCAATTCAATTTTTTTTTTCATTTTTGAACCCACACTTCAGTTTTAATCTGCTCAGAGCAAACATGCAGCGTCCATGTGCTGCCAAGGTTAACCACCATGTTCTCGGGGAGAGCAGCCGCTCCGTTGAGATAAGGAGGACGGTCTCTCCAGAACTGCTATGTGCCAAAATAAAAACTTTTCAAATCATGTTAAAGGAAATCTCGTGGTGAGTTCTTTCGTTTCTGCAACTTCCTGCATCACGCTCTGTGATTGGCCGATGTCGTCAGTGGGCGGGGCCAGTGATATTCCACTACATGGTAATGAACTCATTGACCTCACTCTCTGTTAGATGTTGGGTTTTTTTTAAAACTAATGAAGTTGATTAACTGATGTTCTTTGAAGATATTTTTGGGACCCTGAAGGTGAAAATGAAATAGTTGGTTTGTTGTTTTCCATTCATTCTTCAGATCAAATGTTTGGGATGAACTTAGTGGTTTCACAGTGACAACTTCCCATTTGCTGAATATTCTCCTATTAAATATTACATCTGGTACTCCAGCAGCTGCTTTACATATCCCTTTACGTTGGTTAAATAGTAACCAGAGCTTCGGTCGTATCTGCTCACTGCATGCATGCCTCCTCTCTTCCCATCTGATGCTTCTCTGTCTGTGTTTGTCAGATTGTCGTCCTCTTAATTTCACCTGTTTCCTCTCTGCTGACCTTTGAGCCTTCTGCTTGCACTATTCGCATAAAGGAACATTTTCACCACACTAACCAGGCTTTATTGATCTTTTTATTATGTCTCTACAAGCTGTTCCTCTGAATGTCTCAAAGTGAGACTCATAAAGTTTACATCTTTAATCATTTCCTATTTCTGCAGATTGTTTGCAGCACAAGCAAAGGTGAGAATAAGGGATTCCATGCTGAAATAGCCTCTAGTAGCTACTGCAGATGTTTTACCAGTCAGAGGTGTCCAGTGTCCTCTTCTAAGTTGTGGTGCTGGGGAAGAAGCAGCAAGAAAAGGGAAGCAGCGCGGCTGGACTGACTGGTGAGGAAGGCTGGCTCGGTGGTGGGCGCAGAGCTGGACTCTCCGACGACGGCGGCAGAGTGAAGGACTCTGGACAAAGCGCTCCCCATCCTAGACAACACCCACCACCCTCTGCACAGCACCTTCTCCAGGCAGAGGAGTGTGTTCAGAGTGCTGTCACGATCCTGCTCCACGGACAGACTTAAGAACTCTTTGGTCCCTCTGGCCGTACAATTGTTCAACACCTCTCTGTTATAGCAGGAGGAAAGCATGCACACACAGTGACTCTCGGACTAAAAGCGGTTTTCATTTTCCATCTGCATTCTTGCAGAAAATGCACGACCTCTTTTCAGACACTTCTGTACCTGCAACATAAACACTGTAGTTTACTCTGATCAGTACAGGTCTCATTTTAACTGTGTTTTAAATTGTACAGATGTTTCTATTCTTATTCCTGCACTGGTTATATATGTTTTCTTGGTATAGGTCTCATTTTTAATTTGACTGGTTTCTTTAAATCTTTCTTTGGGTTGATATATATATATATATATATACATATTTACGGGGGGGCAGGGGGTGTTGTTAGTTGTAGCAAATGTTTTAGGTTGTGTGTTTTTGTGAGCTGCTACTTGAGTCTTTGAATTTCTATCCATCCATCTTTCCCTCCATCCATCAATCTATCCATCCATCCATCCATCCATCC